CTTATTTAAACTCCTGTTTTCACTTCTCCTCTCCCCCCTTCTTCTTCCCCTTCGAATCAAATTTCAAATCCAAAGTCCAAGCGCAGAAACAAATGGTATTCTCCATCTCTCTACTCTGCCCTCCCCTTTTCCTCCGATTTTCTCATACTTTCTCGAGAAAGTTGCGGATCAGTACGGATATGTTTGCGATTAAGCTAACCTGATTTTCCTGGCTCTGATTCTTTTGGATTACGAGTTTTTCCTCTTCTTATCTGTTGAATTTCGTTGTGTTTCAGGCTCTGCCTAACCAGCAAACAGTTGATTATCCAAGTTTTAAGCTCGTAATCGTCGGCGATGGCGGTACAGGTATCTTCTGTTTATTTAGAATGTTTGATCTTAATGATCTGTGCCTTGGTAATGTTTGCTGACTGATCTTTAAGTTGTTCGTAATGTTGATTTGCGATTTGACTGCGAAAATTTCAGTTGATTAAGCTCTGTTCACGGAGTTTTAGTTTTGTTGTGATTTGATCTGGTGTCAATCATCTGTTTGCTGTATCTTTTTCTGTGTGTTCTGGAAAGGCTTGATAACATCTGTACATTCAGGGAAAACAACTTTTGTGAAGAGGCATCTTACAGGAGAGTTTGAGAAAAAATACGAACGTAAGTTTGGAGGGAATATCACCTTTCTTTTTGAAATTATGTCTGTTTGAACGCTTATTATTCTCTCTTTTTTTTCATGTTTAGCAACAATTGGTGTCGAGGTCCATCCGTTGGATTTTTTCACCAACTGTGGAAAACTTCGGTTCTACTGCTGGGACACAGCTGGGCAAGAGAAGTTTGGTGGTCTGAGAGATGGATATTAGTAAGTTACCATATCTTGGTACTGATAATTTTTGAAGTGTTTTCTCAGGGAAACTCTATTAGTCTCCTCCCACAGCCCCACCATTGCTTTCTCCCCTTTCCCAAATCCTGCAGTCTGTGGCTGTATCGCATCCAAGTATTTTGCTGCTAATATATCTGGATGTAGAATTCTATTACTCCATTTCATTTTGGAGTAAGTTGGAATAGAAGCAGGAACCTTGTATTGTTTTGGATTGCTAGTCTTTATTTAGCAAAATGGGGTATTGAAATTACTTTTAAGAATTTGATGACACAACAATCTGCCACTGCATTCATAAGTTGTAATGTGTTTGGTCCTCATTTGTTCTCAAGAGATGTTGAACATTGTCTTTGTATATTGTTTTTTAATTCATAATTTGTGAGACAAAGTTTTACTGATGTTTTCCATGTTGGCTGTGTATATGACATGTTTTTAAATGTTTATATTTTTTTTATAAGTTTTGAAGCACGGAGATTTAGCTACTTATTAAATGATTTTTATATAGTATTCTTTCCTATGGGTACGTGATATTTTACTTTCTTTCAGATATTAAGACTTATCTATTTTCAAAGAATGTTACATTGTTGTGTACAAAATTCTTCAGAATGACCATACAATGCTCTTGAGACTTTATTTTGATGATTGTACTTCCCAGTACATTTCTTAGTGTGAGAAACTGTTCATTTTGTAGCATTCATGGCCAGTGTGCCATCATTATGTTTGATGTTACTGCTCGGCTTACATACAAGAATGTTCCAACATGGCACCGTGATCTTTGCAGGTTTGTGCAAATACCTAAACTTATCCCTTTTTACACAAAAATCCTTAGTTACCTCATGAGCCACATTTTTCAGGGTCTGTGAGAACATTCCAATTGTTCTCTGTGGAAACAAGGTTGATGTTAAGAATAGGCAGGTGAAAGCAAAGCAGGTCACTTTTCACCGGAAGAAGAATCTACAGTACTACGAGATATCAGCAAAGAGCAACTATAACTTTGAGAAGCCTTTCCTTTATCTTGCTAGAAAACTTGCTGGGTAAATCATATCACTTAATAACAGATTTAATTCTTTGGTTAATCAATGGATTTTTCACTAATGGTAATGTGAAATTTGTTTTTGGGTTTAAAGGGATCCTAATTTGCACTTTGTGGAAGCTCCTGCCCTTGCTCCTCCGGAGGTGCAAATTGATATTGCAGCCCAGCAGCAGTGAGTATCTTGTTATATACTTATAAGATGACCTCTCTTTCTCTTTCCCTAACAAATTTAGAGTCTCTCATCAACCATGATTTTGAGTGATTAATAGCATATTTAGAGTCTTTTCTGGTTGAATATATACATGTTGCTTTTTGACTGGCCACAAAGCACTCTTAGCTTCCATATGCTTGGTTACATCCCTTTTGTTATCTGCATCAGCAATTTACATCTGTCTTGCTGGCAACTTTTGCAGGCATGAGGCTGAACTTGAGGCTGCTGCTGCTCAGCCTCTTCCAGACGACGATGATGATGCCTTCGAGTAGATAAAGGGTTTTATTATTAAAGTAAATGTATGTGTTTTGAGCATATTTGGGTACTAGGCTAAAATTTTTGTGCAGTTGTGTCCATACCTGCAAGCATTTGTCGTCCATTCAATCTCTGTAGAATGTTCAACTGCTATTCAGTATCACTTGTAATCCATTATATTTCTGCTAAATGTAGGGAATTGAAATCTGCTTTCATGTTATATTGTTTGTCTACTCGTTTCTTTAAGTGATTTCTGGGTACAACTCCTCACCCATTAGGAAGATGCTGTTGCTTCCCTACAAGAAAGTCTGGGTTGAACATGGATGCATTCTTCCTACAAAAATCAAACAAATGAAGAGGGGAAGGGAAATCCAATTATGTCGTCCACTGTCTTGAAAGAGAAAGAAGTTTGGTGACAGGTTTGATTCCTTGAGAGGTCAATGAATTATTTAGTTCAAGCTTGAATGATTTACTTTTAACTGGATCGAAGAGGGTTTAGTTTCAATATACGTGCATGCTGATCTAGTGGCATTTTAACCACTCAACAGAAAAAAAGCTTGGAAGTTAAATAAGTCTTCTTATTGATGCATGTTTTCTGTTGTTAGTTGTACCGTTATTGAAAACGATCGTAACAAGTTGTCACGTCATTTCTAGCCAGGTCCATACAAGATGCAGATTCCCATGGCAGTAAAGCCATGGTAGTGACCTGGTTTAGACATGTTGGTGTAATGAGGCAGGAGTGCCAACTAAGTTTGTGGTCCAGTGATAAGGGCTTAGTAGTGTGATATCTTGGTCTTAACTCTGAGTTTTACTACTACTATTATTTTCTCACCCCCTTATATATGTAGTAATGTATAATTGCTTTATTAAAAAAAAAAAAACATAGTTGAGACACTATAATATGTTTGGATTAAGGGAATTAGAGGAGAGGGGAAGGGAGGTGAAAAATTCCTTTTACTTTATTTTGTCTTTTAATTTAGCTATTTATCTAAATAAGGAGAAGAGAGAGGTGGAAAATGAAGAAAAATAAAATGATATAATTCCCCTCATTCCCCTTCCCTTCCCCTCTATGCCCCTCAACCCAAATGTGGGGTTAGAATATCTTGCATACTTCAGCTTCCTTTAGCCAGGACCTAGAAGCATTATTGAGAAATCCTGTCCCTCACTTAATATTTCTAATGATGAACGCTCAATGGAGCTTAAAGAAGCCTTTTCTCGTGAACATGGGTATTCAGACAGGTTGTTTACAAGACTAGTGGGATGTCTAGTGAAAGGTTTGGATTGACCAAAAAGAGATATAGGGATTTAGACTTTTGATCCAACTAATCCCATAAGTCTTGCAAATAGTTATATCTACGAGTACCAAATAAAGTCTTACCTTCAAAAGTAATGGGCATAATTCATTGAAATTGTTTGTACTTAAATGACATTGAAAGCATTGAAATCTGCATTCTCAGCATAGTTATAATCTAGAGCTAACTCTAAAGGATTGAGCTTAAAGAACTTAATTTCTGCTGAAAAAGGTTTTCAAAATTTTTAAAAGATTTTTTTTTTTTTTTTTTGAGAATGCCATATTGAGTTTGTTTTAATATGCAGATTGCATTATTTTTAATTATTAATGCAGAGGTAGACGCCTAACATCAGAAGACACCTCCTCAATATCAATGGTCATAATTTATTTGTGGCGGGATCTTTTCCTGGCTTGCTGTCCTCACAAGTCACAACTCTGTAAGAATGACATTTGCACTTTTTCAAACAGCGGGAGTTGTAATCTGTAAATAAAACTGTATTATCTTAGGGTATCACCGAAAAAAAATTAAAGTGATGTGAAACGGTGGAACAGAGGAAGCATTAAAGGAAAAAAATGGAATGGAATTGAAGCATTAAGGGAAAAAATGGAATGGAATTTTTTACATGGAACCGACAAAGTGAATGAGTTGCTATATGCCATTAATGGGGGTGACAACCTTTCAATTCCAAATTTATCTTAGATTACGTAATCGCCTGTTAATTTCTCCCCTCAGCTCTTAGCTTGAAATTAATCCAACCTCTCTTTCACTTTATATACGGCTAGAAGTACCCCCTCAAACTTCACACCTATTCTCCTTTTCCTTCCCTTGCTTTTCCTCTTCTTAAAATGGATTACCAACGACCTGACTCTTCTCTTCGTCTAAGTCTACCCAGCAATCAGCTCAACCTAGAACTCGTCCTCGAACCATCACCATCTACCACTGCTTCTTCAGTGCCGGTTGAACCCCGGATTTTCTCTTGTAACTTTTGCCAGAGGAAGTTCTTTAGTTCACAGGCACTGGGAGGGCACCAAAACGCGCACAAGCTTGAGCGGACTCTAGCCAAGAAAAGCAGAGAACCAAGCTCAGCCGCCCAAGGTCGTGGTGGACGGTCAAGTGCCTTGAGCAGAAGGTTGGATGGTGAAATGGTTTACATCCGGAGAGAAAACAACCATGGTTCATGGTCCGGTGGCTCCAGAGGGTACAGACCAGGGAACGTTCAAGAGGAGTTTAACCAACTTGATTTGTCCTTGAGGCTTTAAACTGCCCTCTTCCCTATATTTTTAGAATTGCAATGTACCATTCTATTTAGAAATCTTGAATTTAAACATTAGAATAAAAATTAAAAAACTTTATGTATATATAATTCTAAAAAGAAAAACCATCTATATATCATGTATTTAGTCCTAAACGGCCAAGGTACAAGATATGTGATTGATGATTTTCTTCTTCTTCTTTTTTCTTCTCTGTATCATGATAAAATCGAATTGAGTTCTTGCAATTAATTTTATGAACTTTTAGATGAAATAATAGGAAGAGAGAAAATCCCCATGCAGAGCTTGAACAAATGTAAATTAAAAAAAAATTTGGCAAAAAATTTATGTGAACCTCAAAACTTTGGATTAATTCTTCACTTAATTGTAACTTACAATTTCTACATAATTCCTTTTATTCTTTTTTGCTATTAGATTGCGAATGGGATATGGATGGAGTGTAATTAAAGTATAAAGGAGAATTTTCTTTTATTGTTATATTTATGACAAGGGAAATTTTACATTTAATCCCATTAATATATCTTATAAGTATTTATAAACGGTTAACTTTTAAGTATTAAGTAAAATATCTTTAAAGACGAGTTAACGTATTAAAATTATTTGTGCACAAAAAGAGTAAGTGGAAGTTCTAACTGATCAACTAAACTGTTTTCCATGTTCAAGAAAATAATAATTTGTCACTTTGAGTCTTACAATGTAGGTTCTGACCCTTTTGTTTATTCTTGACATCGTCTCGATCTCCGGTTATATAAAGAGGAATTCTTTGAAAATTAAATTGATTTCCCCCTTTTTAATTTCGTTTGGAAGCAAGAATTAGAATAAAGTATTTAAATTGGTAGAAAATTTATTTTTATTACAAAATTTTTCTATGTAAATAAACAGATTTTTAATGGCCAAAAAATATACATATACATAGACTTTTTGTCCTGCTAAATTGCTAGACGTTTGCTGCCCAAAAAAAAAAAAATTTTGATAAATGTTCAAATAATTATATAACTCTTAACTAACATAAACCAATTAAAATTAAAATCATACTTATTTATCATAAATCAAACTAGGTTTAAATCCAAAATTTTCCATGGAAATTCAGAATGACAAATTTACAAATTCCATGGCTTGGCTAGCTAGCAAGGTAAGTTATGGGAGAGAACCATCCTTCATTATCATCACTAGTAGAATAACAATTTTCTCTCAAACACTCTTTTTCAAATATTCTCTTTACATTCAAGGTGAGGGACACATATATTTATTTAACTGTTTGATAATTTTAAGTTTTAAATATGTTAACTTTAACTTCTATTAATAATTATTATCAATTATTTAAATATCATGTATCATGTGAATTGATTAAAAAAAATGTTAAAAGAGAGTTTTACTAACCCTTCTCTTTCTACAAGCATATAGATGTCAATCTGATATAAAATAACATATAGGTGATACATAATTAAAGACTTAATTGATAGTGAAGTTTATCTTTATGGAATATCTTTGATTAGTAGCTTTCAATGACAATTCACTCCTTTGTTCTGTCAATTTATATATATATCTTTGCACCTAAACGGTAAACATATTATTATTAATTACAGGACCACTTACAGCATATAATTATTAATTATAGGACCACTTTTACTTTACATTTGTGTTAAACTGAAGAGATTATAATTTTTTTTAATATATCAGATAATTTATTATTATATAATAAAAAATAACTCTTTAATTTTTTTTTATTAGTTTAGAGAGTTAGGAGACCATAGTTAATCAATAAATGAATAAGCATTTGTCATTTTTTATTGAGATAATGAAGTTAAATATTCATAATGACAAGCATACTAATGGAGGCTCCAATAATTTTGATGTCTGTTTTGGGCAAGTCATTTAGGGAACACCATAGAGATAATGTTTGGATTGTGAGGACGAAAGCAAGCAATTTTCCTTTTGATATGATATATTGATGCTTTTAAACCATAGTTGAAATTTGTTAATTGACACAAAGATTGGACAATTTTAGACGTAATGAACAATTAATGTCATTTCACTCTAACTTATGTGTTCCAAGTTTAAACCACTTGAAACATCATAAACCCAAGTCTGAGTTGTTTTCAAACTTGACATTATCAAAGTGGGTTTAGTATATAGCTTGGTTGTTAGGGAGGGTCTACAAAGGCATAATATTTGAATTCACTAACAAAGTATAGTGGTAGAGACAGATTCATCTCCGAACAAAAAAAAAAAAACAAATCCATTCACAAAGTTTTCAACTTGGACAAATCATTTCAAATTAACCTGTGACGTTATATGATGTCAGCAATCCGTTAATTTGACGTTATCTGACGTCAGCAATCTGTTATTAGCGATATAATAAATTAACAAATTGCTGATGTCAGATAACGTCATACATTAAATTTGGGGTAATTTGTCCAAATCGAAAATTTTGTGAATAGATTTGTCTTCGTTTATTGTTTAGAGATGGATCCATCCCTATCACTATTTTTTGGGGATGGATTTGGATATTTTGCCGTTTACAAATCCCCTGTCTTGCCTAATTGCATGTGAATCAAGATTCTCCATTTGATGGTGCCAGGACGAGACTTTGTGACTATAGTTCGTGTTTTAGTCAGTGTTTAAACAGTTGATAGTTCAACATTCTAACTAAGTTAAAAGTATTAAAACGTGAACTAATTTTTTTGGAAAGAGAACAGAAGATATGTTATTGTCTTTCTTAAAAATGAGTTGACAATTTAAGAATGCCAGCTAAAGATGGCCTACTTAGTTGAAAAAATAATGAATATTGATGGAGATTTGTCTTAATGATAACAACATTTAGACTTTTTACCAGTACTGAAATCACGTATCCCAAAAGATCTTTTTAATTTAAATCTTCATTTCTGACAAACCTAAGTGATGCAAGTGACCACCTAAATATTATTAAATGATATCTCAACTTAGGGTGTGGGATTCAAACCCTACCCCTTCCCCTTCCCTCTCCCCCTAATTGCCCATGTTCAAAAAAAAAAAGAAAAAAGTTTAAATCTCCATTTCCAGAGCAGATACAATCAATACAAGTGTATAAATCATTCTACAAAAAACAAATCCTTAACAAATTCTAAATCATTGTACGTACGTCAATTGATGGATACAAAGACTTCATTGCATGAGACTGGAGTTTCGCAGTTTCTCATGTATTATATAACTGGGTGTTTGTCCCTAAGGGGATGTCCAACAGTTGAAAACTCGAGTAATTCATATTTGAAGTCTTAACTCTTAAGTTGTCTTGGGATTGTTGAGAAGGGAATTGGAAAAAGGACGACTAACTCATGTTATATAAGTCATTATCTGATGTTAAAAAAAAAAAAAAAAAATGCAGCTGAATGTTTCCTTGTCTCTTTGCAGCAGCTGGCAGCTGGTTCTCAAGAATGTTCCAGCTGGATTAATGCCGGAGGCAATTTTGAAGCAATAATTTGGAGAAAGCCATTGACATTCAGCATCACCTTTACTGAAAGTTCAATTGATCAGAACAGAATATGTTACAAAATTAGGTTTAACTCCTCTTTGAAACATCTTTGCAAATAGATTATGTGCTCTATGCATATGGTCCCTGCTTTACAGTGAGCAAGTATTCACACTGTTGTTAGGTAGAATGTTAGGAAACACACCTTTAACAACCACATTCTGCCAGAAACTGTATGCTCACTCACCTTAACCCTATTACAGAACCATGATAAATATTGAAAAAAGAACAGTGTGCCACACTCCTGCCTCATCAAGCATCTTCTTGCTTCTTCCAATTTGTAAGCTTTCAAGAATCCATCTAGGAATTACATTACAATTTGTCATTGGAATACCAACATTGTTCATTTGCATGTAGTGCTCTTGAGCCTTTTTTTCCATGTCCCTATTCCTACAACACCAGTCAATCAAAACTGCATAGGCAACCTTGGTAGGATCAAGAATAGACCATCCTGTTATACAAATCCAAAGCACTACTAAGATCACCTTGCATACACGGTACCCTTTAATCAAACTTGTAGTAACAACTAAATACAGGAATGCAATTCAAAATCAAATATTTTTGCAACCTCGATAAATGATGAACCAAAAACCTTTATATGCTGGTCCTGAATCTCCAGAAATGCATTGATTAAGCAGATACTGAGGCTGTTTGTATCACATGTGTTCCCTGACAGTCCCCACCAAAAGGCAAAGCAGAAGACAAAGAGAATCAACACTTTTGACAAAACCCCTCATAATTTCAACACGCGTTTGAAGTACATCAAACAAATCAAAGCCTTTATGTGGTTTGTGTATGAGAGTGCCAATCATAAAATAAAAAAAATAAAAACACTTTCACCGGTAAATTATTAACATTATAATTAAATAGACAATTATTTTAATCATAAATTTGTACAGGAAAAGAAAAAGCCTAAATATGAAGGTATTTTTCCCAGGTTCAAAAAAAAAAACCTTACACAGATGATACTCCCTACTCTAAAAAATAAAATAAATGAAAATATGTTACAAATGGTACAAGTAGCAACAGTTGAATGCTTGCTTCGTGGACATCATAATATTAACGGCTTGGATCTGACTGGGTGGGAGCTTTGATGCCTTGGCCTGTGTTAGGAGAAGTTTCTCCATGGAACCTATTGTCGTCCCTGGCAGGGAAAATTTGCAGGTGTTAATAGTTAATTGCACATGTAAAGGCAGGAAGCATGTGCATCTGATGAATGGAGCTCTTGCATCAGATCATGACGGTTGAGCAAATAGATATTGAAGTAGGGGGGCAACAACTGCTATACTTAAACTGTTTCCCAGCAATGCATAACTGCAACAGAAGAAGGTGATCTTAAATATAATCAACTGATTATACTCTTAAGCCAGAAAAAGAGAAGAAAAAATGGATTTGATAAAGCCAGATACTTGTATAAACATACCGTTGTTTAAGGCTTATGTGTTCTGGGAACTGAAAATCTTCTGGGAATGAATGTAAGTTTGCCACCTAATCATCATGAAAGAAAAACCCAAAAATCTTAAAACATTTTAAACTAATTCACAAGCCGCAGACAAAAAACTCGAGTTGTAAACTGCAGAATTGATGCCAAGGCAAGCATACAACATTAGTTTACCTCTCTAGGGGTAAAATATCTAAGGCACTGCTCCCTCAAAGTAGATGTCTTTCCCTTGTTCTTCGACTGCAAATGCACACTTTGTAAGCATCATCTCGAGAAAAGGGAAATGGAAAACTAATTTCAGAAAGATCTCAAAGAAAAAGCTAAAAAGAACAAGGTATACCATCAATGGTGGAATATTCTAAAAGGTTATCCACCACACCATAGACAACCCTAGTTCAACCATTTATCAGTTTTAATCTGCTATATGCAATTGCACATGGGTTGCTTAGAACAGCAAATCAGTTAAACCATGAGTCTTGTATTGCCTAAAAGTATCATCCTAATTCAGCTAGACTTGCCATCCCAACTTAAGCATGCAACCAAAAACATAAGTATCTTTGGTATGAAAATCTACCTGTGCAGTTGCCAAGAGGGAGCCGGTACCTTTTACATATCTATAATAACTTTTAGTGAAGCAGCAGCATCTTCTTGAATCCGGATAGACAATATCTAAAGTCCATTAAGGATTACTTTAAATAGAAAGGACAAACTAAGTAATGAAGAATGATTTTATTTCTTTTTTGAAATAAGAACAAAACACAGCTTGCAGCCAAGAGTGTTGCCCATTAGGGCTCCTAATAAACACACCTTGCAGGCAAGAAGTGGAGATGATGGTGCCATCAGCAAAGATGATGCAAGGAAGGCATTACTAGCCTTTTCAGGGGCTTGTCTGCCCGGTAGTGTGATGGTGCATGAGCTTTTGGTAATAAAGAGGTTTGAAACTTTCTGGCAAAAGAATGTTAAAGCCAATATTGTGGGATATTCTGATAATATACTTGATTTATCAAAAGACCAGAAAGAAGCAAGTTAAGAAAGCACCACATTAATGAATTACGATGCTGGCGTCAGTAAGCAAAACTAAAAATAAAGGATACCCATAGCAGCTCCCCACCTCTCTATTAGGCTCAATGGAACATAGTTCAGACCTTCAGAGCTACAATCCAACCCATTTCCATCACCACTTTTCTCTGATGCTTCAAATCCACGTATGGAATCATTGATGGTCACCAAAGAACTGTTCTCCATATCATCTGAAGTCTTGAATTCAAGAAACCTCTCTATTGGCTGGCAAGACTGAAGCAACTCATCTGATCTCTCTTGTGGTTGATAATGTTCACAGGGGACTGCATTGTCATAATTCCCAAATAAAGGGCTTGGAGACTGCAGAAGCTGGTTATTCAACAAGTGGCACTGAAAGGATAAAGGCTTTCTTTTTGCCTATAGAAGTAAACAAATCAAAAAAAAAAAAAACTTGTGAATAAGAATTAAGGAGTTAAAAATGAAAATATGGCTAGAAGGTGAAGAGATAACTTAAAGCTCCCAATGTAGAAATTAGTTTCTGACAAGTTCACATTCAGAGATTCATGCAACAGTGAATAGGGGACCTATCAGAATTTTAACACTCAACCACTTGTAGCTTAGATTCTTTATCTGAACATGAATGACTGTTCTGTTTATGTGCATGAATATTCAAGTTACAACCTAGTTCATCAAAATGTAAGTATTAACCGAACTGAGTATTTTGAAATCATCTGGGAGTCAAAGGAAATCCAATTTATAACTGAATTGTATCCCAAGCTCTCACTTGCTAACCTTAAAGTCAGAAAAACCAAAGCTGTTGGATAACTGATAGAAGATTTAAGTTATATAATGACATAATTTCCCAAAAATGAAGCGCTCAAGTCATATATTAAATTAAAAGAAATGAACAGGATCATTTTTAGCCTTATCTAAGGGAAAAAAATCCAAGAAAAATAGCAGAGAGAGGCAGGCCACCAGGCAAAAATAACGAGGTCTGGAATAAGGAACACCAAATTGAAGCGGGCTCAATATGAACTCCTGTGTAACAAAATCAGATCTTGCCAATATCTCAACCATTTTTACATGAGTATCTGATGTCTGCAAGATTTCAAAAGGAAACAAAGGGGGGAGAGAGAGAGAAGGTAAGCAAAGAAACAAGTATATTGAATAACTAAATCTAATATCACTTCACAAGTGGTCTTTCTAGGATCCGACCTCAAATCCAACAACATTCTCCACAAATATCATAGCTGGAGGTTTCAAAGTCTGTGGAATGAGTTCAAGTATCTTGAGAAAGGAAAATGCTCGAGCATCAGCAGAGTGCTTCTGGAGACCTATGAGGCAATAATATACATTTTAAGATTCTACTACAGAATTCAGATTTTAAAAAAAAAAAATCACACGAAACAAGATAAGTGTATAGGGAGCCTATTTCACCTTGTCGAGTGTAGGGTTGGCAAGGGGGTGAAAGAAGCCATGCATGTGCCTTATAGTTGTCAAGATCTGCAGCAGTTAGGGTCTGGATATTACCCTACAATAAGTTATGCAAGCCAAGATTAACATTTTAAAGTATTAGTAAGTTCCTTTTCAGTGCCAACTATTGAACAATGGAAAAGAAAGTTTCCCCTTTTTTCTCAAAATGAAAACTTCCTTACAGTTAGAAAAGAGGTGCAAGCAGGCAAACCTGCTAAGGAAAAAACAGGCTGAGAAATGAACATATAAAACCAGAAAGCAAAACATTTGAAACTCCAAATTTGACAGAACAAATCTCTATTTTTTCACATAGGTTTCTAAGAATGGAAAGCATCTTTGGGACCAAAGTGCCAAAATGTAAATGTTATAGGAAGAGGCAGCCCAGGAATCTTCAATCTTCAAGTTTGAACAGCTGAAAACCAAATCTCATACTATTCCATACAACATTCAAACAGAGAAAAGATTCTAGACTTAACAAATAATAGAGCATAGTAACAAAACAAGACCCGAGCAAAAACTTCCACTCAATGTTAAAAGACAGTAAAGGGAGATGGTGAATCATAATTGAAAACACTCAAAAGCAAAATTTAATTAATAGTAAGCAATAGATTGTATTGAAAACTGATACAGTCTAGATAATGATATATCATATATCTCCCACTTCCAAGGATGTATTTGTTTCACGTCGTTAGCTAGAAAATTAAGACAGCATCAATTAAATACACGCAGGAGAACACATATCAGACAAAACCCATTTTCAAAACAGCATAAAAATTAAAACTTGGTCAAATGAAGCCATCCAGAAGAGAAGGAACCTGAAAAGGACGGTGACCGAAATTGTGTTGGTAAACATCATTTGCTGTATCGTTTATGTCAAAGGCTTCCACCACTTCTGCGTTGACACCAGCCTGCATTAGGGAGTACCTCTACAAGCAAATTGCAAGCATCAAATAACAGTGAATTGCTGACTGCAGTATTGCAGATAGGGAAAAAAAGTATTAGGGTTTAAGGGTTTAGAAGATAACTACCATGCCACCAATTCCACTGTAGAATTCGAGGACTCTCCATGGCTTGCCATCTCGCCCACAAAAGCGTTCCTCCATTGGTGTTCTACGGAGTCCCAATGCCCTGCCCTGGGGTTTTAATTAAACCCTTTGCTGGGGAAAAGTTCTTAATAAAAACTAAAATAAAAAGAATAACCCAAGTTGGCCCCTTAACTGTTTCTCTTTTTAACTTTTCGCCCTCAAGTTACTTTCTTTCCTAAAACGATATGAGGGACCAATTTGCTTGCATCTTTCTTTCTTTCATTTTTTTTTTTTTGGGATAGACATTCAACCCTTTGCAGCTACATGCACTAGCAGGGCCAGTTGGCTGCCAATGTGTAGTAAAAATTTAATTTGTATTAAAATTTAAGTTTTTATAAAAGTAGTTGTAATATTTTCTTTTAATATTTTCCTTGTTAAAAAAAAAAAATCTCTTTGTAGCTACAGAGCATTATAAATATTAATTTGTTGTAATTAAAATGATTTTAATTATTAGTTTTTTAATGAAATTTTAATTATTTTTTATATATTTTAAAAAGAATTAGTGCTTATCCACTTTACCTCCTAAAAATTAAAAGAAAAATTATTTCAAAATTATATAATTTTAATAAAGTATTACAAGAAATGACAAAAAAACACTCTAATTCATGCTTTAAAAATAAATGTATTTTAGTTTTTTTCAATAAAAATTTATTAAAATGACATAGTTTTAGGATAATTTTTTTCCTAATCTTTAAGAGATAAGGCGAATAGATATTATTTTCTTTTAAAACTTATTAATGTACAATACTTTTATAAAAATAATTATCAAATAGTATCATAATTTTTTATTCTAAGAGCAACCATATAATTAGGGGTGAAGCCATGAATTTTGGCCAGAAGCCAAATTTTCAAGTCTCAAAATTGCACATTATAATTTCAAAAACTTGCTTTTACATCATAAATTAAAATAATACTTTATGAGCTTTCATGTCACAAAATCTATTAATAATGAAGTTTACACTAAATATTTGAATAACTTCATTTTCAATATAAATAATCAAAGAGTTTGAAAAGAATTCATCTTTCATTTTGTTGCGAAACCTTGTTTTCACAAATTTCAAGGTAAAAAATACTCATTCTATTGTTGTTATAAAGACTAGAAGAGTAAGCACCAAAGTAATTAACGTGTAAATAAGATTATAGATATCTAATTTTCTTGTCTTCATAAGTCAATGACATAACCTAGAAATATTTGACAAATTCTGAAAATCTTGATTATAATTTGTTTCAATCTCATAATATCAAAACTCTATTCTCAAATGAAGTTTTTCATCTCTAAAAAATATTGAAGATAGTATTTTTCTACAAACCTACAAATATTATTGATATTGAAACTTTTGAACTCATTTTTAAGATCACAAGTATCACCACTAAGAGTCAATAATTTAAATTTTAACTATAATTGCCTTTTACTGTCTTTAAAGTATTTTTAAATCTTTTGATTCCTTTACTAATCAAATGTGATATCAAATTACTAATTTTTATTACTAGAATATATTCACTAACAATAAGTATAAGACAAAAGTTTAAATTAAAATAAAAGACACTTATAATTTGTAATCTCGTCCATTAGTTTATGAGAAAGACTAGGAGAAAGAGAGTATCTCTTACTCTTTTGTGCTCCACTCTACGATCCACTAGTGATTGGTCCCTTCAATGATAGCAGCAGGAGAGGGCTGCGCCTGCGGTGTTTCTTTCTTTGATTTAAAAAATTGAAAAGAGAATAGACTATTTGTAGTAGATAAGAAAATTAAAATGATACAAAACAATTAGGGTTAATTCAATTTTTAGTCTATTAACTATCACATTGATTTCATTTTAGTCTAGAAACTATGTTTTATTTCTAAGTGGTCTATTAACTTTCGGATTTATTTCAATTTCGTCTACCTGGTTATCTTTGACGGAAAAATTACTATTCTATTAGAGAATAGTTAATCCTTTAACTATATTTGTTTTGATCTTTTAGTCCTCAAATTTATATTTGCTGTAAAAACAGTTTTTATACTTAAAATTATTATTTCTATACTCTGATACCAGATTTTTATTCGGGTTTTCAGAACTTAATTCAGATTACTACTAACTAATGAATAATTGATAATATTTTAAAAATAGAAACAATTAATGAAAATACCCTAAGAAGAATTAAAGAAATGAGAAAAACCTGAATAAAAATTCGGTATTAGAGTCTAGAAATAATAATTTTAAGTATAAAAGTTGTTTTTACAGTAAATATAAATTTGAGGACTAAAAAATCAAAATAAATATAGTTAGAAGACTAACTGTTCTCTAACAGAATAGTAACTTTTCCGTCAAAGATAACCAGGTAGATGAAATTGAAATGAATCTGAAAGTTAATAGACCACTTAGAAATAAAATATAGTTTCTAGACTAAAATGAAATCAAGGTGATAGTTAATAGACTAAAAATTGAATTAAGCCAAACAATTATGATTTCACTGATTTAGTACATTGATTTGATGGTTTGATTCCTTGAATTGTTGTTCTTTTTGAAGTTGAATGTTGAACAATGACACAAAGCCAGTCGATAGCGGCATTCATACGGACAGCATAAAAAAACCTTTTTTTTTTTAATAAATTCACAAAAAAGAGTTGGATTCAAACGTTCCCACGGATGAGAAAATGCATTTATGTGTGATGTGATATGATGTAATTTGATTGAAGACTCAAGTGCTTATATATATATATATATTTAAGTTAAAGTGTTAATTAGTTTTTAATGAGTATTTAAAACCTGAATTACAATTGAGTTTATAAACATAGATCACTATTTTAATGGATAATTTTTTTTTAATTTTTTGTATCTTAATAATTAAAAATATAATATTTAAAATTTAATAATTAAAATTAATCAATTAATAT